ACACATATATATTGTGTGTCTATCTGGTGAGTAAATTAAAAAATTGACTAGCCAATGGCGATTCTATTGCCAAGGTGTTCATAGAGGGTTGCAAATTGAATCTTATTACAAAATTTTACTAATCTAATAGCTTATAAAAACAAACCTTTTCACTTTTAGGAACCTTAATATTTCCATTAAAAGCTTTAGAAATATTATGCTGACTTCAGGCCAGCACAACTTTTTTAGTATCAACATGAGAATGAAAGTTTAGACAGATTTAGACTCTTTCTCTTGGGTCGGATCAGTGTGTTCACCTGTGAATTTAATCAAGTCTTGAAAATAAAATCCTGCCATCCTGCTCAAGGGTGCAAGTTTGGCACTAGTAGAACAATTATTAACTTGAATTAAACCAGTTTCCTGACGCAAGTTTTTGCTGGATGGCACTTTTCACCATGACGCTGCATTTTGGTGTCTAGTTCTGTGAGAGTTTGCATCTCAGTGGAGTCATTTACCTATTAGTGCAGATATTTTCATGTCGACTCATTGCTTTTTCTCTATCTTATTCTCCATTTTACAATTGTGCTGCTTGTCCTCTGTGAGGGTTCATGAACTCGAGCATCTACATGTTTACTGGATGGATCTTCGCTAATACGGTGAGTTTGCACAATGCCGCATTAACATACTTCACCATATTAACCAGGAATGTCTTCATTCTTTCATTATCTAGACCTTAAAGGAAAAGTTCACCCAGAAATGAACATTTTCTGAAAATGTGCTCACTCTCAGGCCATCCAAGATGTAGATGAGTTTGTTTCTTCATCAGATTAGGAGAAATTTAGCTTCACTTGCTCGGCAATGGATCCTCTGCAGTGAATGGGTGCCGTCAGAATGAGAGTCCAAACAGCTGATAAAAACATCACAATAATCCACAAGTAATCCACACCAATCCAGTCCATCAGTTAATGTCTTGTGAATCCAAAAGATGTGTGTTTGTAAGAAACAAATCCATCAAGTCGTTTTTAACTTCAAACCGATGCTTCCGGCTAAAATACGAGTCCATAATCCATAATAACGTTTCCTCCAGTGAAAAATCGTCTCGTCTGAATCAGGAGATAAATCTGCAAAGATCAAGCACCGTTTACGAGCCAAAACAGCTGTAAATAAATATGTGGGTGAGAAATATTTGATGTATGAGACAACAGTAGATGGACTTTATCACTGGAGGAAGCATTATTATGGATTATGGACTCGTATTTTGGCCAGAAATGACGATTTAATGCTAAAACATCTTGATGAATTTGTTTCTTACAAACACGCAGCTTTTCACTTCACAAGACATTAACTGATGGACTGGAGTGGTGTGGATTACTTGTGGATTATTGTGATGTTTTTATCAGCTGTTTTGACTCTCATTCTGACGGCACCCATTGACTGTTCCTTTAAGAGTGTATCTCATAGAAATTTATTTTGTATGCTGATTATGTTGACTGAAACATCTCACTAGGGTTTATAACAGAGTTCTTGCTAACTATTATAAAGCGTTCAGTGTTCGCTCTTTGAAGCTTATATAAACTGTTGTAATATCCAGACAAAAGCTGTCAGAGTCGAGCAGTCAGACAAACTCCTGAGGGGCTCTGAACGATGGGGGTCTGTGAACTCAAATCCTCCTGACAAAGATCTGCTCACTTCAGAAAGATTGCTCGAGCATTATAGCGTTTTTTGCCGCTGACACCAGCTAGGACCCTCAAAGCAGTTTCTATTAGTATTCACCATCTGCTGTTTTTCCCCAGGTTGCTCTGTTGGTTTCTCACAACTAGGCGACGCATCCAAACATGCGAACGTACTATTTCAGCACTGACACAGCCAAAGATATGGAGTCCTGGATGAAAGTTATGACGGACGCGGCATTGGTCCACTCTGAGCCAATCAGAAGGTAAGAAAACGTGCTCGGTTCACACTGAACCAATCAGAAGGAGCACACTCAAATCCCTTGTCCTCTTCATCTGGTGTACCACTTCACTGACATTTACAGCAGTTTACTAAAGTGTTTTCATTTCCCAGGTTAGGAAGTAATGCAAAAATGCAAAACAAAATAAGTAATTAATAATATAAATAATTTAAAAGCAATGATATTGATAATGTAAATAATTTAAAAGCAATAGTAAAATAACGAAAAAAAATTCTGAACAGTAATAATGTCAAAATATAAATAAATAGTTTTTAAATATATATATTTTTTACTTAATTTGTTCCCAGGTTAAGAATCAGTTTCTAAAATTCAAAACAAAATAAGTATTTGATAATATAAATAATTTAAAAGCTGTAATAAATTAAAGGGAAAAAAAATAAATCTGTTCTTTATGATCAGTAATGTCAACATTTTAAGGCATTTAAAATTTTTTTTATATATATTTACTTATTTGTTTCCCAGGTTAAGAATTAAAAAGCAAAATGTAAGTAAGTATAAGTAGGTAATTATATGAAGATTTTAGAAGCAATGATAACAAAGAAAAAAAGTTTTCCTTTGTAATCTGGTAATGTAAACTGTTATGTTTTTTTTTTTACAAAAATATATTTTACTTAATTTGTTTTCCCAGGTTAAGAATTAGTTTCAAAAAAGCAAAGCAAAACAATTAATTAATAATATAAATAACAGCAGTCTTGTTAATAATATAAAGAATTTAAAAGCAATGATAAAAATAAAGTTGTTCTTTATGATCAGTAATAATGTTAATAAGATGACTGAAATTCAGAATTTTTTTTTTTTTGAGAAAACAATAGTACAATCATTACGACATGTCTTTAAAGACACATTATGAATGGTAAACATTGATTGGTCCACACTGAGCCAATCAGAAACAATGAAATTCCAAAACATTACACATTGCACCATGGCTTTGTGGACTTACTTTTTCTCTATCTGGCTCTATTTAGATAGATGTTGTTAGCTTGTCTTTGTTAAGCTGCCTCAGTAGAAATCACTTCAAGTCACTTCAGTGTTTCCTCTTTCCTCTTGGCACTCTTTATATCTCTGCTTTTTGAGGAAAGCTGTCGAGTTTCTCGACTAGAGCTGCTTCTATCCCGAGAGACTCTCACGAGTAGAGATTTCACAGCTTTTTAAGTGCAGAAGATGTTTTTGAAACTCTGTGTGTGTGTGTGTTTGTTTCATTGCAGCTTTTAGCACAATCACAGATGCTGAAGAATACTCCCAGACTTATACACTTGCTGTTTTTTGATTTGTACTAAAATAGCTTTTCGGCAACAGCATCACAGCTGGGATTGAAAATGAACTGCAGCTCACTTTTCATAGAATCAAAGTGACTTTTATTAAAGAAGACACAAATGTTTGGTCAAAAAGAGCTTGTCTTTATTTAGTGTTTCAGTGGAGCTCAGTATGACGTAGTTTAGTATGTGTAGTAAAGCTCTTTATAAATATTATACATTTAGAGCAGTTGAATAGCTTGTTTTTATTTCATATGAAAAATCTGATATGCTCTTTTTCTTCTCTCACTCACTTGCTTTTCATTTTTTCTCTTTCTGCAGGCTTGAGAAGGTAAAGATTGACTCCTGCAGCCCTCAGGAGATGAACAACATGCTGAATCACAGAGTCCTGACCCGACCCGAGATCCAAAACAACGAGAGAAACCGTGAGACGCTCCGCCAGGAGGAGAAAAAGCAGAAAGAGAAAGATGGCAGGGTTAGCGTGCAGAAAGACGGAGAGCGATACACCCTCCAGAGAAACGAGGACAACTACGCTCTGCACAAAGACGCTCAAAGACTCGCTCTGCAGAAGGACGGAGACCGATGCATGCTGCAGAAGGATGCGGAGAAATACGTCCTGCAGAAAGACGGAGAGAAATACGCCGTCCACAAAGACGGAGAGAAGTACCTGCTGCAGAAGGATGGCCAGAAATACACATTACACAAAGATGGAGACAAGTACACTCTTCAGAGGGAAGGCGAAAAATACGCTCTGCCCAAAGATGGCGAGAAGATCTTGCAAAAAGATGCAAGGTACCCTCTTGGAGACAGACATAAGCAGCAGAAAGACCCGGAGAAACCCGTCCCGCCGCCGCGGGAGGCCGAGAAGTATGGCTTCCAGAAAGAGGGCGCTGTGGAGCGGCCGCTCACCAAGATCAACAGCATCAAACTTCAGCCGGCCCAAGCGGCGGCCATCAGTGCAGCCATCTCGTCCTCCAGACAGCTCCAGAGCGCAGCGGGATCCAGCCAGTACAAGCCACCCCAGGTCAACGGTTCTGGGGAACGAGGAGGAGACCGAAGCCCTGGAGACATGAGCAACACGATGCCCCAGAGGATGATGGTGCTGCCACAGCCGGCAGAACCAGAGCGAACCCTGAGCAGAACCGACTCCATGCAGCAGCTGGAGCAGTGGGTTCGTACGCACCGCACACGGGCCCCAGACGACGACACCAGGAGGTGAGTGGTTCATTTCAAGCTAATATTGCTTGTTTTATTGTTTTTGTGTGTGTGTAAAATTTAATTAATGCACTATTTTTTTTCACTATTTTTTGTGTGTGTGGTTATGATGATCCCATGAGAGACTAGCTTGTATGTGACTGTAGACTACACAATACATATTACAAACTTCACATTATAAACTACAAACTTTACAAACCAAATGTACTACATGATATGCAATACACATTTTACATTATATGCACAGTACAAACTACACTATCTATTTTACAAACTACTTGCATTATAAATTACACAGTAAACACTTCACAAACTTTACAAACTATATA